CTTAATCAAATTCAAATGGTCGGTCCCACAATACAGGACGACATTTTAAGCATACTTCTTAGATTCAGACAACATAAATATATTTTATCTGCTGATGTAGAAAAAATGTACAGGCAGATTGCTGTACATCCAGATGATAGGTGTCTTCAACAAATTATATGGCGCGTTAGTAAATTTGATCCATTAGAGATATATAAATTAAATACTGTAACATATGGCACAGCGAGTGCACCTTTTCTAGCGGTACGTTGTTTAAAACAAATTGGTCTCGACTGTGCAGATGATAAAATACGTGAAATCATTATACACGACTTTTATATGGATGACCTACTCACTGGAGCTGATACTATTGATGAACTTTTATATATTAAACAAAATATTACTAACGCTTTAAATTCAGCTCAAATGCCACTTAGAAAGTGGAAGTCAAATGCATTAAATTTTGATAATGATGAAATTACAACTACCTCTTTAAATTTAAATATTGGATCTGATAATTCTAATATAAAGTTAGTTCTAGGCTTAGGTTGGCAATCAGATTCCGATGAACTTTGTTTTAGTATAAATAATAAAATCCCCAGTGTCATGACTAAACGTAGTATACTTTCTGTAATTTCACAAATTTTTGATCCCTTAGGCCTACTCGCCCCTTGTATTATTAGTATGAAATGCTTATTACAGAAATTATGGCTACTGAAATTATCATGGGACGATCCTTTACCATCAGATATATCAAGATCTTGGAATGAATTTATTATCAATTTACCCTTACTTAATGATCTGCGCATTATACGTAACGTTTTAGTAGATTCTTATACATATATAGATCTTCATGTTTTCTGTGATGCTTCACAATATGCTTATGGAGCATGTTTATATATTTGTAGCGGAAATGATAACGGTGAAACTTTAGTTCGATTGCTCATGGCAAAAAGTCGAGTGGCTCCAATCAAACCTACGACTATGCCGAGACTGGAGCTTTGCGGAGCACTTGTGGCGTTACGGCTTTATGAAAAAGCGATTAATACACTTCGAGTCAAGGTAAGACGTACGTTTTTTTGGACCGACTCTTCTATCGTATTGGGGTGGCTTAAAATGGTACCTAGTAAATTACAACCCTTTGTACGCAACAGAGTTGGAGAAATTTTGGAAAAGTCTCCTAACTGTATTTGGAAGCATGTTCCCACTCATGATAATCCCGCCGATCATATTTCCCGAGGAGTTGATGCTAAAACTATTATGTCACTAGATATTTGGTGGTCTGGGCCAACGTTTTTAAAACGTGATATGTCTCAATGGCCTACTCATCCCAAAATTGTTGGGCCACTTCCGGAATTGCGTTCTGTTATAGCAGTAAATGTTGCAATTACAAATAATGATGATAATGATTTTATAAATTTTAGTAAATTTTCAAATTTTTCTAGGCTTAAACGCACAGTAGCATATGTTTTACGGTTTGTTCGAATTTGTAAAAAGGATTTTATCAAAGATAAATTTTTAACGGTAGATGAATTGGATAATGCATTAAATATTTTAATTAGAATATCACAAAAGCAGTCCTTTCCAGAATATGACTTGTTGATTAATCATAAAAAATTACCAAATAAAAGTCAATTAATAAAATTAAACATTTTTATGGATGAATCCAATATTATACGTGTTGGAGGGCGTCTAGAACATAGTGATTTTCCTTATAATAAAAAACATCCAATATTAATCCATTCTAAGCATTCCTTTACAAAATTATTATTTCATTTTGAACATAAACGCTTGCTACATGCAGGTCCGCAATTATTATTGAGCACTATTAAAGAAACATTTTGGCCAATAGGAGGCAGGAATTTGGCCAAATCATGTTACCGGCAATGTCTTCGTTGCGCTCGAGCTAGGGCTAAAATAGTAACCCCTATTATGGGAAATTTGCCATCTAGCCGTGTATCTGTAAGTTTTCCTTTTGAAAATGTAGGAATAGATTATGCAGGGCCTGTTATGATTGTAAGCCGTCAAGGACGTGGATCTAGACTAGTTAAAGCGTATATTGCTGTTTTTGTCTGTTTTTCCACAAAGGCTATGCACTTAGAATTAGTGAGTGATTTAACGAGTAATTGTTTTTTGTTAGCTTTGCGTAGATTTATGTCCCGTAGAGGGAAACCAAAAAATATATATACAGATAATGGAACTTCATTTGTTGGCGCGTTTAATGATATTGCAACTTTTTTGAAAACTAACGTTGTTACTTTATCTGAGACTGTTGCTGATGACGGAATAAAATTTCATTTTACTCCAGCATATTCACCTCATTTCGGAGGTCTGTGGGAAGCAGGCGTCAAATCCACAAAATATCACTTAGTAAGAGTACTGGGCAAATGTAATCTTACATATGAGGAGTTATATACTGTACTAGCACAAATTGAAGCTGTGTTAAACTCCCGACCACTGACTTATTTATCCACGGACCCTGCGGATTTGACACCATTGACCCCGGGACATTTTCTTATTGGGCGATCACTTTCGTCCCTTCCGACTCCCAACTACGAAAATGAAAATGTTCACAGGCTGAATCGTTACCAGAGAATAGAACAATTGCGTCAACAATTCTGGAAGCGGTGGAGCAAAGAATACATCTCTGAACTTCAAACAAGAATGAAATGGCAAAAGTCTGAAGCTCAATTAAAATTAAATAGTCTCGTTCTCGTAAAAGATGATAATCTACCACCACTCAAATGGAGACTTGGAAAAATAACGAACGTTCATCCAGGAACTGATGGTGTAATTAGAGTGGCAGATATCAAGACTTCAAATGGAATCATCCGAAGGGCTTTCAGCAAAATCTGCCCACTACCGCAACCCGAAGATTGTTGAAAGTCCTACTTTCAACGCCTGGGGGCATGTTTATAAATCTATATTATAATTAATTATAAATTTATGTAATATTAATATTACTATTCAAATAGTTTTTAGCGCCTCTTCATATTTGAAGGCAATGTTGATTTTGTGTTAACTTTCTACCGCTAATTATTTTTTCTTCTACCGACCTTCTCTCTCTGTAAATTGATCTCGATTAAATCATTACGTGTCTGCAATTAAACCTTTCTTTTTACACCTTAAATCTGTTAATTCAAAGACAACTGGAGAAATCGATAATTTTTACTTTGTAAACTACATTTTTTTAATAATCATTGAAAAAGTGTACTTTATTGACCAAATTTTTATAAACTGATTACACCAATATATTTTGCGGGAAAAAACGATTAAAAACCGCGTACTTAAGGTTTTAATTGACGGTTATTATTTATATAATGTCGCCGTAAACATTCCAACTTTGCAATTTGACGAGTCGTAAAAAAAATTGGAAATCACGTAAAGTATATCATCATCATCATCGTTTTACAAACTACATAATATAATATAAAGTCTCAGCCAAATCAACTAAACAGTATTTTATAGCATTTTTGAAGTTATACTTCTTTTGGCGCGTTATGAAAAATGAAAAATAGATGATGAGAATGATTTTTTTACGATACGACAGATTTAGACTACAGTATGAAGTTAGTGATTATTGACTACACTGTTAAGTTAGTCCTTAAAACACCCTTTAGTGTAGTGAGATGTCTTTATTTAAGATTTATATTCTGGTATTTCTATTTACACAACACGTGTTTTACATCGATAAATGTAAAAAATATTATAAGCTTTTATTTAGTTTCACCTGACTCGGCGTCTGTCTGTAATCAAATGTTACAAGTTAAATTTGACCCACTTCCAATTGTCCGATAGAGCTGAAATTTGGCACACACGTTTGACTCTCATGACTGCACGATATCCTAAATGCCGCCATTTTTAATCCAATACGACGGACAGACGTTACAATATGGCGATTTATTATTCCCATAGTGACCTATATGATATGGGTATCAAATGAAAGGGCTTAATAAGCGAAACACAATAAGCAAAGTGACGTGTTATAAAATTTAATACGACGGACTGTTTATTTGCACCCCTATCATATGGCTATCAAATGAAAGGATTTGCTGAGAAGAATACGAAAAAAGTAAGAAACATTAAAAAAATTAAAACATTCAAAAAAACCAGCTTTTATTTAAATGCTCTAAAAAACAAAGAAGTATAACTTCTTACGTGCGTACATAAGTATACACCTTTTTTCTAATAAATGTTTCTTGTGTTTTTTTATTAAATTAATGTAACTTTTTTATTTATGAACCGATTGAAATAAAACAAATATTAATTAAATTTTAAGTGAAGCTTACCATAAATACATTCATAAAAACCGCATCCAAATCGGTTAAGCCGTTTCTGAGATTAGCGCGCACAAACGCACAGACAAACTGACAAAAATTTCAAAAAATAATTGTTTTGAGTTCTATCGCGTTAATAAAAAACTCCAATAATAGCTTTTCTCAAATATCTCCCATGTGCAGACAGCGATCAGTTACAATAAATTATTGATATGTATGGGTATGGACATTGATTATTTGGCGCGGCAGCGAGCGGCTGGCGAGCTCGCCGCTCGCTTGCTGCTCTAGCGTGTTGTATGAATATAAGTTGACCGGGCGTGCAGCGTAATTTTTTTATAAGTTAACACATAACATATTGCAAAGTAATTCGTAACACTCGTAACCTGACTCAAACATAACTTTATCGATAATAGAAGGTACATAGACATACACGATCCAGGGGGGGGGCAGCTGCCCCCCCTGCCCCTACCTGGGTACGCCCATGCACGCCGGCGTTACAATTAACAATAGATTTCTTAGAAATTTACCTGGAGGTGCATATCCTACAACACTCGTATTATCAAGACGACTCTAAGTACATATAATTCACCAATATCATTTAAGCCGTTTAGTAAATATGAGGGCACATAGAGTCGGATATAATATGTATGTATGTACACACTACATACATAAGTACAGTCAAACACATTCTTCTTTCGTGGCTTCGCCGCAGTCGGATAAATATATGTCAAATATATCTGTCAGAAATTGCTGAAGACCCTGGACGTGAACACTCTCCCGGAAGGCGACGTGCAACTCATGGAGCAGCTCACGTCGCTCGAGGCGAAGGTGCGGCACCAGGCGGATAAGGTGGCCAACATGGTGGTCGAGCCAGGTATTGCGTTTTTGAAGTTATACTTCTTTTGGGACGTTTGTAAAAAATATGAGAGTAAAATTTTTACAATGTTTGTTGCCATGGTAACCGTTGTTAATGCCTGACAAATCTATATAAATAAAAATGAATGTTGGTAGCGCATAACTGAAGAATGGCTGGACCAATTCGGCTATTTTTTTTTTCGTATGTTCCTTAAGGTCCACGGAAGGTTTTAATAAACAGAAAAAATGAAAAATTAACGGAAAAAAAATTATATGGCTAACGCTGGGTAATAACTAAATAACGCAACAAAAAATATCGTTCATTTCATTTTGTTTTATCAAGTTTTTTTAATAATAGTGATTATTGAAATATGTATTTTTTTTTAATTAAAAACAGATTAAACCTACGTAATATGGGAAAAGTGATCTCTTATTAGTCTCTTATAGACGCCAGTGCCAGGCAAAAATAAACATAACCAAAACCTCATATGTACTAAATAGATTTTGTATGTGATGTTAAGGTTGAATATCGCTTGAAGACTTTGGGTGCAAGAGAAAGAACGTGTGTCTGCTTCGAACGTGTTTATTAGACTAAACATTTAAAATGATACAAGTGCAACCAACATACCGCCCACTAAAAAGGGGTTTGACCTTTTTTTAATACAAAGAAAAATGAAAATTATGTAGGACATCTAAGTTAAACAATAAACAATCTCACAAACAATTAGTACCTACGAGTAAGTTTTACAACATTGTACTTGCACAAACATTTGATAATTGTTAAAGCATTGATAATGATTTGATTAAGTATACATATTTATTATTAAGATAGATATATCACTAAGTATCTTTTGGTAACAAACATAATTTTGTAACACAACGTTTTGTAATGTTATTTCCACTTTTTACACTATAAACTCTAATCAGTCCGTCAGATCCTGGATGTTTTTGTATTATACGGCCTAAAGCCCATTTTCCAGGAGGCAAATTTTCCGTTTTTATTAAAACTTTGTTCGTTAACCTTGTGTAGCCATTTCGGTCTTTGTTGTAGTCCTGAGAGATATTTGTTAAAGTACCATATAATGTTTAGTATGCATAAAACGCAATATTATCTGTAAGTAATTATCTTTATAGTCTGTGACAATCATTAATCTATGACAATTTAATAATCTGCTCTCTCTCCTCTCTGAACCTCCGAAGTGTGCATGTCTAACAAATATAATATAAATTATAATCTAATTTTATCTAAACGATCTGAAGTTATTGACGACCAATATGTATTTATTCAATTCTGTGTAATAATAAATTCATCATTGGAAGACTGCATATTATTTATCTCTTCTGGATATATGATCTACATCGCCTCTTAAAAGGTTATGGGCCCAGGGCCAGGGCCAGGGCTCCAGATCCAGAAGTATACTGAGAAATATACGATCGATCGATACGCACTGCACGGAACATTACACTCTGATCTATCTACGTGAAGAAATCTTAATTATGGCATCCGATGGCGTGATTTCCCCTGCACGTGGCGATGGCGTCTCTCGTGTCAATTCGACGACGTCTGTCCCTATGTTTCCTGCAATTGAGAAGCTGGAAGGCAGCAAGAACTACTTGGCGTGGAAATTTGCTATACGTATGGTCTTAATACTAGAAGGCTTGTGGGATTGTGTTACTGCGAATGTGGTCACAGACGCTGCGCGCGATCAACGTGCGCTGGCGCGCATAGCTTTAAGTGTTAAAACGAGCCTTTACCAGCATATTCGCAACGCAGCTACTGCTAAAGAAGCGTGGGATAGCCTTTCGGATATATTTGAAGATAAGGGACTCTTGCGTCGTGTTTTACTGTTGCGTGAACTACACCGTACACGCTATACGGATTTCAACGACATGAGTAAGTACATTGACAACACCTTCAACATAGTGCAACAGCTAGCCGATATTGGGCGAAAGATAGAAGATGAAGAAATAGCTGAATTGTTACTAAGCGGTCTACCTCAGGAATACGACTCGCTTGTGTCTAATCTGTCAACGTTCACATTAACAACAAGAATTTCTAGTGAAGTAGTGAGAACTCGCCTACTACAAGAAGATTTGCGGAGAAACAATTCTAATTCTCATAATATATCTGAAGCTGCTTATATTTCAAAACGCAAAGTGAAATGTGACTATTGTCATAAAGAAAATCATGTGAAAGCAAAATGTTTTAAGTTAAAGCGTGACAAAAAGTTAAAAAACAGTACTAATGTATGTATGGCAGCTGCATATCTCTCTAGGCATAGACAGGAAGATTGGTTAATAGACTCTGGGTGCACTGCACATATGTGCAATAAGAAAGATTTCTTTGTGTCACTTAAGTCAACCTCATCAACAGTGTCAGTTGCTAACAATGAGACTATGATATGTGAAGGTGTCGGGACTGTGAATATTCAATGTAATCATAAGGTACTTATTCTTAATAATGTTTTGTATGTTCCTAAATTAACAACAAATTTGATTTCTGTGAGTAAGTTATTAGAATTAGATCTAAGAGTGGTGTTCAATTCGGGAGGTTGTTTTATATATGACAGTAATGATAAACTTATCAGTTCTGCTAGGAATTTAAATGGGATATTTAAATTGTATGGGTGTGTTAGAAATAGTAGGTATTTGCACAAAAAGGAGCATTCTTTGTTCCTTCACGATAAGAAGGACTCCCAGAGTGCCGCAGTTGCAGCTCATCAGCAGCCAATGCTATTATGGCATCGAAGGTTGGGCCATCTCAGCTCTGGAGGTATGTATGCTCTTAGAGATAGGTTAGGACATGGTTGTATGTTTCAGGCTGAAGAATCTCTACCGGATTGCGTTGCTTGCCTTGAAGGCAAGCTGACAACGAAGCCATTCCCCAAGAGTGGAGCCAGTCGTGCAGCCAAGGCTCTAGAGCTTGTACACTCTGATGTATGTGGGCCCATGCCGGTGAGCAGCTGGGGTGGTGCAAAATACATTCTTACACTGACCGATGATTATTCAAGGAAGAGCTTTGTATACCTGATGAAACAAAAATCTGAGGTATTTAGCCGATTCATTGAATTTAAAAATATGGTTGAAAAGCAGACTGGTTTATCAATTAAATGTCTTCGTAGTGACAATGGAACGGAGTATTTAAATTCAAACTTGTCTGGGTTTTTACGTAAACAGGGGATAGTTCATCAGCTTACAGTTCCTTACTGCCCTCAGCAGAATGCTGTATCAGAACGTTTAAATCGTACCCTTATGGATAAAGTACGTTGCATGTTGCAACATTCTGGTCTTGACCAGCGGTTCTGGGGAGAAGCAGTGATGACTGCTGCTTATCTTAAAAATAGGTCTCCCACAGCTGCATTGGACGGCCAGATTCCAGAAGAGGTTTGGACTAGTTCTAAACTTGACCTTAGTCACCTCCGGGTATTTGGTTGTCAGGCTTATGCATTAGTACCACGGGTTAAGCGTACAAAGTTAAACCCTAGATGCAAACCTTACATTTTTGTTGGTTATTCAGAAACCACTAAGGGGTATAGGCTGGCTGATCCCTGTGACCCTAGAAAGGTACTCTTGTCTCGTGATGTCACATTTATGGAGGAGAGATTCTTTAATTTTGGACATGACAATTCTAGTGATAATAATGAAATAATATTTTTTAATCCTTATTTATTACATAATAGTTTATCAAATGAAAATAATGTTAATAATGAATTGTCTAATGTTGATAAAAATAATTCAGTGGAGATTGATAGTTTTAATAATATTAATTCCTGTGTTTTCAAAGATTCGTGGGATACTGGCAGCGAGCACAACTCCTCTGTCGAGTGTTCGGTGAATGATGACGTAGGAGGTGTCTCTGTTACGTCACAACGCGCGACGTTGACTGGAGGGGAAGGTGTGCCTGTAGCTTCACGCCCAATACGTAGTACACGTTTGGTTCCGCCTAAAAGGTATGACGACTATGATCTGTCTATGTTTGTAAGGGATGTTTTGGTCGACGAGCCACAGTCGTATCGAGAGGCTATGGATAGTCCTTACTGCGATGACTGGATGCAGGCTATGAAGCGTGAGTATAGCTCTATGATAGAGAACAATGTATGGACCCTTGTAGAGCGGCCTAAACACTCCAATGTAGTAAAATGCAAATGGGTGTATAAGGTAAAGTGTGATGCTTCAGGAAATTTTCAGCAATTTAAGGCTAGATTAGTAGCAAGGGGCTTTACACAAAAAGAAGGGGTAGATTATACAGATACATTTTCCCCAGTTGTACGCCACTCTACCATGAGATTATTATTTAGTTTGGCTAATGAATATGACTTAAATATTGACCATATTGATGTAAATACAGCTTTTCTAAATGGCACCCTTAGTGAAACTATTTTTATGGAGCAGCCCGAAGGTTTTGCTGATAATACAAATAAAGATAGGGTTTGTCTTTTGAACAAATGTATTTATGGATTGAAACAAGCTAGTAGAATGTGGTATTGTAAAGTTAATGACTTGTTGACTAAAAATAATTTTGTACAAAGTAAATGTGAACCATGTGTATTTTATTTACGGGCTGAAAAAGAAATTGTTATTATAGCATTGTATGTTGATGACTTTTACCTAATTTATAATAAGGACAGCTATAATATTAAGGTTTTATTGAGATTACTAGAGCAGGAATTCAGTATCAAAAACCTAGGTCCTATTCAGAACTATCTCGGAATTAGAATCAGTAGAGATAGAGAAAAAGGTGTACTTAAGCTAGACCAGTCAGTTTATATTAGGAAAATACTGAAAAGGTTTGGTATGTCAGACTGCAAACCAGTTTCGACTCCTATGCAATCAGGATTTAAGTTATGTAAATCAGATGATACTTTAAGTGATGATGTATATAACTATAGACAACTTTTAGGTTGTTTGATGTATCTTTCAGTTTGTACTCGTCCTGATATTGCTTACACCTGTAGTCAGTTAAGCCAGTATAATAACTGTTTTGGTAAATGTCATTGGTCAGCTGCTAAGAGAGTTTTAAGGTATCTAGCGGGTACAATTGACTATGGTTTACTTTATGTAAAAAGTAATCAATTGGTGTTGAGTGCTTATACCGATGCGGATTGGGCCAATGATTGTATTGATCGTAGGTCATATACAGGATTTGCAATAAAACTAGGGAATAATGTTGTAAACTGGGAGTCTCGAAAACAAAAAGTGTATAGCACTCTCTAGTACAGAGGCTGAATATTTAGCCATAAGCGATGTTTGTAAAGACTTAAGTTTTATTACTAATTTTTTGGTAGAAGTTTTTGCTAATTTAAAATTGGACTGTATTACTGTGTACAATGACAATCAAAGTGCGCATAGATTATTAGAGTGCAAAGAATACTGTCACAAACGTACTAAACACATTGACGTGCGTTATCATTATGTAAAGGACCTAGTAAATAGCAAATTTGTGATTGTTAAGTATTTGTCTACTGATCAGATGATTGCTGACGTGTTGACTAAACCTTTAGACAAGAAAAAGCATAACTTTTTTACTTATGAACTATGTGTTAGACATGTTATTATATAAGTATTTTCTATTGTAAAGTTATGAAATGTAGTCGTTTTTTTATGTAACGTCAGAGCTGTTTGCGTTATATGCATAAGGGGAAGTGTTAAAGTACCATATAATGTTTAGTATGCATAAAACGCAATATTATCTGTAAGTAATTATCTTTATAGTCTGTGACAATCATTAATCTATGACAATTTAATAATCTGCTCTCTCTCCTCTCTGAACCTCCGAAGTGTGCATGTCTAACAAATATAATATAAATTATAATCTAATTTTATCTAAACGATCTGAAGTTATTGACGACCAATATGTATTTATTCAATTCTGTGTAATAATAAATTCATCATTGGAAGACTGCATATTATTTATCTCTTCTGGATATATGATCTACATCGCCTCTTAAAAATATTCCTGTTGCCACCGATGCCAAAAATCTTGCACTAGTTTTTGTGTGAATTGCCAACGTGTAAGGTAATTTATGTTTGTGTTTCTTAAGTCAGGTGATGGAATGTTGATAGGAGCCTCGCCGATTAAAAAATGACCAGGTGTAAGAGGATTTAAATTATCACAGTCTGAGTCATCCATAGGACACAGGGGTCGTGAATTCAAACAAGCTTCAATCTGACATAATATAGTAGTCATCTCTTCAAAAGTTAAGTGAGTGGTCAAAATTCGTTTCAGGTGATATTTAATTGACTTCACCCTTGCTTCCCAGAGGCCACCAAAGTTTGGACTGTAAGCTGGAATGAAGTGCCACTGGGTTCCTTCATTGGAGAGTCTGTCTGCTAGTACGTCGTCAAACTGTAACTGTGCATCTTTCCAGGCTTCTGTAAGTTCTTTATTTGCTGCAACAAAGTTACGACCTTGGTCACTCCATAAGTGGGTACAACGTCCTCTACGCGCCACAAATCTTTTAAATGCTCCAATAAAAGCTTCAGAGGTAAGGTCACCCACAAACTCTAAATGTATTGCCTTAGTAGACATACATATAAAAATACAGATGTAACCTTTACAAGTTTTGCCTCCTCTTCCTTTAGATTTCAATACTAAATAAGGTCCACAGAAATCAACTCCACTGTGTAAGAATGGACGAGCTGGGGTCACTCGGACCGCTGGTAAGTTTCCCATTCTTTGTACCTTTGATGTTGCTCTTTCCTTTGCACAAAGCAAGCATTTATGTATGTATGACTTTACTAATCCCTTAACCTTCAATATCCAATATTTAGATCTTATGTAATTTAGCATCAGCTGTATACCGCCATGTAAAGTTTTAATATGAGCGTCTTTTATGATTAAAGTGGTAAGTGGATTTTCTTTATTTAATATTATGGGATGCTTTGTGTCTTCATTAATATTAGCATGTTTTATTCTTCCTTTTCTTTTTTTTTTTTTTTTTACGATAACAAAATAACGAAGTTCTATGTAAAAATTACTAAACTTCATTAAAATTAACATAGAACCTTGTAATAGTAAGCCAACGAATTATGTCGTGCATATATATATACGTATATTGTATACGTACATAGTTAGATATGTCGTCATGCTTTGTTTAGTCTTAGATAATTATATAAAAAAACCATAATAAACCATAATAAAGATAATAGTTTAATGTATTTTTTTTAAATTGTCATTTTAAATTCATTGTAATTTTGAAAGAAAATATTAAAAAATAAATAAATTGTGTAATTTAGTTATTTATCGGAAACAAATATGATTAATATCACTCAAAACATATTAATTAAAATTGCATTTTCATATCTAATCACTCTCTAGCCCTCACACTATCACTATCACTTCCCTATGTGACAAAGACAAACGTAACGCGACAGATCGGCGTGCTGACGCGCGTGCTGTGGCGGCGCGTGATCCTGGACGAGGCGCACGCGGTGCGCAACCACAAGTCGGCGACGTCGGGCGCCGCGGCGGCGCTGGGCGCTCACCGGCACGCCGCTGCACAACAAGGACCTCGACCAGGGACCGTAAAACCCAGGTTTAGAGTTAAGCCAAAAAAAACGGTTACCCATTCAAAATGAACGTAGAAAAACCTTGTTACCCATTAAATGTGTAACCTACCTTTAAGCAAATGAAATGTGTTAATCATTTGTAATAATAGCCCTACTATAGAATTAACCCTATCGAAAGGGTTACCACATCGTTTTACGTGAATAATCACGTAAAACGATGTGAACTTACTTTTTAACTGGTGATGAAGAAAGGGTGGGGGAATATACCTATTTGTTTCTAAATTCGTGTAGCACTGCAAAACAATGTTAATTTAAAGTTTCATACTCCTACCTGTGCACGTTTACTTATTAAAATATATAATGAACCGTTACAAACGTAAGTATTAATTTTCTTTTTATGATTGTATATTTTATTTAAAAATTGATTTTAGTAACGTTTTATATATAGATAACTATTTTACATTTACTTTTATTTTTAATTAATTTTATAAAAAGCTGAAACAGTACCAGAAACGGAGCCAAATGTGTGCGTGTTACGTGTGTGCGTGTCATGTGTGTGTGTGTGTGTGTGTGTCATGTGTGTGAGTGTGTCATGTGTGTGAGTGTGTCATGTGTGTGAGTGTGTCATGTGTGTGTGTGTGTCATGTGTGTGTGACATGTGTGTGTGTCATGTATGTGTGTGTGTCATGTGTGTGTGTGTGTGGGTGTGTCTCGTGTGTGTGTGTGTGTGTGTGTCATGTGTGTGTCATGAGTGTGCGAGTGTGTGTCGTGTGTGTGTCATGTGTGTGCGTGTGTGTGTGTGTGTGTCATATGTGTCATGTGTGTGTGTGTGTGTGTATTGTGTGTCATGTGTGCCATGTGTGTGTGTTATGTGTGTCATGTGTGTCATGTGTGTGTGTCATGTGTGTGTATGGGTGTCATGTGTGTGTGTGTGTGTGTGTCGTGTGTGTGTCATGTGTGTGCGTGTGTGTGTCATGTGTGTGTGTGTCATGTATGTCATGTGTCATGTGTGTGTGTGTCATGTATGTCATGTGTGTATGTGTCATGTATGTCATGTGTGTTGTGTGTGTGTGTGTGTCATGTGTGGCATGTGTGTGTGTCATGTGTGAGTGTCATGTGCGTGTGTCATGTGTGTGTGACATGTGTGTGTGTCATGTTTGTCATGTGTGTGTGTGTGTGTGTCACGTGTGTGCGTGTCATGTGTGTGTGTGTGGTCATGTGTATGAGTGTGTCATGTGTGTGTGTGTGTGTGTGTGGTCATGTGTGTGTGTGTGTCATGTGTGTGTGTGTCATGTGTGTGTGTGTCATGTGTGTGTGTCATGTGTGTGTGTCATGTGTGTGTGTGTCATGTGTGTGCGTGTCATGTGTGTCATGTGTGTCATGTGCGTGTGTCATGTGTGTGTGTCATGTGTGTGTCATGTGCGTGTGTCATGTGTGTGTGACATGTGTGTGTGTCATGTTTGTCATGTGTGTGTGTGTGTGTCACGTGTGTGTGTGTCATGTGTGTGTGTGTGTTTGTGTTCTCGTGTGTGTGTGTGTCTCGTGTGTGTCGTGTGTGTGTGTGTCATGTGTGTGTGTGTGTGTGTGTCGTGTGTGTCGTGTGTGCGTGTCGTGTATGTCAGTCGTGTGTGTCGTGTGTGTGTGTGTCATGTGTGTGTGTGTGTGTGTGTCGTGTGTGTGTGTCGTGTGTGAGTGTCGTGTGTGTATCGTGTGTGTGTGTCGTTGTGTGTGTCGTGTGTGTGTCGTGTGTGTGTGTGTCGTGTGTGTCGTGTGTGTGTCGTGTGTGTGTCGTGTGTGTGTGTCGTGTGTGTGTCGTGAGTGTGTCGTGAGTGTGTGTGTGATGTGTGTGTCGTGTGTGTGTGTCGTGTGTGTGACTGTCTGTCTGTGTGCCTGTCTGCTTGTCTGTCTATCTGTCTGTGTGTCTGTCTGTGTGTGTGTATGTGTATCTGTGTGTGTGTCTGTGTGTGTGTGTGTGTGTGTGTGGGTGTGTCTGTTAATGTGTGTGTGTGTCTGTGTTTTTGTGTCTGTGTCTGTGTGTGTCTGTGTGCGTGTGTGTGTGTGGGTGCGCGAGTGCGCGTGTGCGTGTGTGTGCGTGTGCATGCTTGCTTATGTGTGCGCGTACGTGCGTGTAAAGTAAAAGAAGAGTATTAACAATGGGAGTCCAAGTTATCGTCATATAAATCATGATTTGATCTTAAAAGCATTACATTTTGTAATAAATGACCGTCCATGTTACTTCTTAAAGAAGATAAAATAAATTTGAATGATGAAAATAAACGTTCAACAGACACTTGAGTCGCAGGTGCTGCTAAGACTGTATTAGCAACTGCATCTAATGTAGAAGAAACAGTTCCTTTATTTACCCAATCTTTAATAATATTTTCAGTTGGGGCTAATCTTGGTGCAAATCTTAATTCTTTCAATGTAATTTCAAAAGAAGAAGCTGTCTTTGCAGAGTGTAATCCTCTTTCTTTTTCTGTTTGTTATAATATTCTTTCTATGTCTGTGGTAAATGTCTGTGAACTAGAGGTATTTTGATTTTTTTCAATTAAATGGGGATCCTTATAAAGTATATTCTCATCAATTTGAAATTCGTTTATATGCTGTAGCTGTGTATAGGTCTCTTGGAGCAAAGATTGTGCTTTTGCACACTATTCATCGGACAAAATGACGTTCAATCGTCTATCTAGATATATGTTTTCTAAAACTAAATTATTATTCAAAAGATTTTTTTCTCTTGCCTTCATAGATTTAAGCAAATCTTGAGCAAAAGGTATATAAAAAATCTCCATACGAGATTTGCACGTCAACCATATAATAAAAATATCGCCGTGTACGTACGTGTTGTATGTATGTATGTAATATAAATACGTAAATTAAACATTAAATAAAATATAAATATCTATTATTAAATGAAAAGTTTAATATATAAATATAATAAATTAAATATATTATGGTATAAGTCACCTACAATACTTACGAGTATTAAGTAATAAATATCATTCAATTAGTGTTGTTTGACCTTAAATATATAAAAACCATGAAATATTTTTCTATCCGCAGGTGTGAGCGAAATGACAGGGTAAATGTTGGTGTCATTCAATGAAATGGGTAATTTAAGAATTTTCGGCAGAGAAAATGTATCATGTAATTGAATAAAAATAATGTTTTTTCTATTTGTTTATCTTATTTACCAATATATCTATTTAGTCCACAACATTTATACAATATAATGCTTAATAATTCAAATAAAATGTGCAAGATACATTTGAAGAGAGTACAAAATATATTATATAATTTGAGGTTTTCATTATAACGCAATCTATGAAAAATTATGCATCACTTAATAATTGAAAGTACGCAAATTTGATTTAAGACCACATTATTTTATTTTCGTTCATTATGAGTGTATTTTAAAACTTGCGTACACTTGCGTAAACTTACTTTTTCAGTATTTAAATATTCTTTTTTTTTGTTTTTATTATTAATTTTACTTATATACCTATCTATATCTAAACAATAATAATAATAAGTTCTTTATTTCAAAAAGGTAGTAAGTACATCCAGATATTTGCTTAACACTTACTAAATCTAATTTGGTACATACAAATATTTAAAACATAGCATCTGCAGCCGAACTAGGAGACCTGTATATATCGTATTTTTGGTTATCGTTGTTAGAAAAATGCACCATTCGTAACAAAATTTCAAACCTGTTACGAGACATAACCGTACGAGGGAAAGATTGGCAAATCAGGGGGTCTGTTGACCAATAATCAGCTAGCTTAGGCAATCTAACTATGCCCATATATAAAATCAAACCAAAAAACCTTTTGATTTCGTCTTGGTTTGTATCAGACCAACTTAGCAGTCGCGATCCTCGTTGTATTTGATTTTTTGAACTAAGTTTAGTAATTGTCTGAGCAGCAAATCGGTTGGTTTCCACAGCTATATCATGAAACACACTATCCGGAACTAACAAAGAATAGAAATCCTCTGGTTTGGATTGTGCCATCGTATTTCTCAAACTATAAGGTTTCAAACCAGGGCACTCTGTGAAAGGTATAATTCTTCTTTGCTTACCCGCTGGTTCATACCATAAATCGGTCTCAAGTCTTGTGTTAATCTGCTGTTCTGGGTTTTCATCTTCGTCACCACTTTCTATCACAAACCGCCTCTTTCTGTTTCCTCGCCTATGCAAAATTACTTCTGTATCGTCACATATTTCACTACAACATGGAATTTCTAATAGCGGTGAATCTCTTTGAGTCAGTTGTTTTTCTAGTTCGTCAATTGCTTGCAGATCTACCAACGATAATTCAAAATCACACGTATTATCAATAATGGACATGATTACAATAGCTATCGTCACACAAAATCTCCAAAAATAGAAAAAAAAACTAGAGCAATGGGTGCGCGCACTTACTTCCACAGCTAATTCTAAGCGACTAAAATTGAATAAATAATGTAGGTACATCGCATAGCACGCACCGGACAGGTTGCGACCTGCAAGTAATGAACTACTACACGCATAGGTACTTTAGTTCAAACGGCCGAGCGCTGCACCGAGTGATTTCCCGCGCAAATAAATTGGCGGCCGGCGGACGGTGCCTGACAAAATGCTTGACATGGCCCAATAGCTATATTTTGTTCCGTTTGGGCCTCGTCAGGCACATATACCAGACATTTTATTATTTTGTTTTATTTTCAATTATAATCATCGGAAACAAATTAAAATAGTCATATAATGTAATTTACTTGAATATATAACCAAAAAACAAAAATAAAAAAAGCCGTAATCAAAATTTTGCTATGGCAGTTAGCGTGTTAAAACACAACAAGCCAATATGATTCTTGAACATTTTAAAGGTTTATAATGTAGAACCCTGTCTTTATTCAGGCATCGCCAACGATTTTTTAGCCTTCCAAAGGTATTTTCGATGACAACTCTAGCAGTCATATGCTTTTGATTGTAATTTGCTTGAGGTGTGTTAGGAGCAGCATCTAAAATTGGAGTCATCAGCCATGGCCTTTGTGGATAACCTGAGTCACCTGAGAATATAAAAATAATATATACAAATGTCATACATCCTATGTTACCTTCACACAAATTTTGATCCTAATTTTATAAAACAGTTTCTTTAATGTTCATAATACCCTAAAACATGACATAATTCTGGAATAAAAATTGGTTGAATTACTTATAGTAGATTTTTACCTAAAAGCCACACTGTTTCCCCATTTCGGTGCAATGACTGCATATATTTATTGAGATCACTGTTTTCCCATATAAATGAATCATGATTTGCACCTCCAAATTTTGCATTAACATTAAGGATCCGATATTCATCATCACATACCTGTAAAAAATATAATATTAATATGGATAGGTAATAAAAACCATTCATACTATGATTGTATATAAAGGAAAAGGTTAACTTATTTACCATTTGAACATTTAAAGAATGATAGTGTTTACGGCAATAGTACTGATGCTCTTCTTCTTTTGGTGGCCCATGTATTCTAAAATGACTGCAATCAATGCAACCAATAACCCCTGGTATTCTATATTTATCAGAAAACCTAAAATAAATTATATTGTCAAATTAACAATTTATTTATAACATTTAAGTATTGTATAGTTATGAAAGCATAAGTACCTTTGACTAATTGCTTGTCTGGCATTTGGAGTGTCAGGAAACTGAATATATTTATTTAACATATTCTTATGTATTAATGCTGTGGTTACTTATTCAATATAAACACTGCACATTTTTTGGGAGATATTCTTTGCAGCTCCAACTGGCCGCTGGTAAGACCCCGTTGCAAAGAAAAATAGTGCAGTGAGTACCTAGAATATAACAATTGATAAAAAATACACCAAGCGTGCATATTTATGATTTTAAATGATTTTACCTTTGCTTCCAAGGTAACTCGTTGAGTAGATTTCAAATTAGTTAATTGTCTTAATTCTTTGCACAAGCCTTTTAATGCTTTCTTCGAAAGGCGATAATTTCTTTTAAATTCAGTCTCCGGAAGATGTATTAACGGATTATCTGAAATGCGAGCTTCTGCACGAACGCTGGCTAGATTATTACGCTCATCTTGTGCTGTTGCCGTCGACAACATCCTCCAAGCGTAAAAATGACGAGCTGCCATCTTTTACTCCAATTAAAACAACACAATAATATGAATTTTGTAAAAATATGTTCGTATTTTAATTAGCGTTTTCACTCTCACTAACAAAATTTAAGTGACAAAAAAACTCGCTCGCAAGTGAGGAAGTTTACAATTGAACTGTCAAAAGTGACATAAATTGCAACTCACACTCGCAAAAACGCCATTCCAGCGCGTTTAATTCCTCACTTCGACAAAGTTAGTCGACGGTCGCAATCATAAAGTTAACAATCAAACTCGCACTCACAAAATATGTTTTACAAACTTTCCGCTAGGTGGCGCTGATCCAACTCCATACAAATTTGCGTTTACTTTAACGCGATCGAGTAGTCAAAAAAACTCACACTAAGCCCACTGTGCATCAGCTGTCAGCGCCATATCCCCACGGATAGGCGACATAAATATTACCAAAAAAAATAAAGAATTACATATCAACTAAAGATATTAATTAATATTACTAAATATGTCATTCCTCTCTCTTAAGTAGGCATGGAAATGATTGCTACTTTTAAATCATTATCATGTGATAAAATTACGTATATTTTTCACGTGATTTCACCTGCTACTTTTCACGCATAGATTTTTGATTTCGACGGTCTGGTGTCACACTTTATATTATTTGCTATTAAAATGAAGTATGAAATGTCACCAATGGCGCTACTGATGTGATATGGAGCAGAGATATAGATCTGACGTAGTTGCATACGTACATGGTGCTTTGAATGAACCTATTTTCAAACTTTATTTAATGCTTATCAAAACAAAAGATAAAAAAAAACAATTAATGCTACAATATATATTATATGAGGCAAAAATATTTTGTATGATCTTTAACTTAACGTGTAATTTACAGTTATAATTTCATTTATTTACCTTATTATTATAACATTAGTGATAATTCAAACAGAAAATGAAAACACTTAAAAAATATAAACAAATTGTATAATTATCTATCATTCTATCCATTATGACAGAATTTCTAAATGCTGATCTCATTTAGTATTTATAAAGACAATATTTAGAATTTGTTTTTCTACTTTGTAATATAGTTTGATGATAAAATAATTTTACTACCAGACATTGTACCTGGGAGAGTTTCAAATTGCAAAAATGTGCTTGAAAATAACCCTATTTGCCTACTTTGTTATCCAAAAATAGCGCCTAGAATTCTTAAAATAACGCATCAGCAACATATATTTTTCTCGGTACGGTATAAACGTTGACACTTGACGACGCGGCGTTTTCTGTGGAATAATGCACGATCAGCAAACCATTTCAATTGGAGAGTTACAGGATATCTAGAACCCAGAAATTTTAATTATTTATAAATCTTTATAATTTTTAAAAACTTAACTAACAATATTTTTTTATGAATAAATTTTGAAATTAAATAAAAAATAAAAAATAGGTAATTTAAAAATGAAAAGTAACGCCATCTTTCACGTTAGTGTGACGTCGTAATGCATATATTATATTTTAAAATCAATTGCGCGAATGATTTATTAAATCATAATCTGTACGTATTACACATAATCATTCAGTAAAAATTATAAGTATTTGTTGGATAAAAAACTAAAAATGTGCTCTAAATTTAATTGTTGTTTCTAATTTAAAATTATTTCTAAACAATATTTCTAAGAATCCGAAATCATGCAACTCGAAATAAATAAACTCCCCAATTTACTGATCAACGGTATTAACTGAAAATTGTATTTTGTTGAATAAAAAAATCAATAAAAACATCAGTACGAAAATGTATACGGAAAATGCGAGTAACGAAATGCATTCGTGAGTAACGTTTCGGTACTCGGTACTAGATGGCGTACCCGTTACTCAGTAACGAATACATACGGTTTGCTACAGCTCTAGATTTCACCAAGTTGTGATTTGTAGCAGTCACTATGAATTTAAGTAGCAGGTGTGACGTATGATAACGCATTTCACGTGATTTTTCACTTGCTACTCGTGAAATGTTCCATGCCTACTCTTAAGATGTGTAATGCATGACTGTAAGAAGTATTTGTGTAATGAGTGTAATGTGTGTGAGCAATTAAAGGAGAGGAGTGTGTAATGTGTACATTCAAATTTAAAACACCGTCATCTCATTGAACGACTTCGTCTTTCTTACTGATGAGATCGATTTATTTTATTTTATTGTATTTTATTTATCAAGACAAATTGAACGAAAATTGTGAAATAACTAGATACCTACTCTACACAAATAAACGAACAATAAAAAGCGCAGGCTTTATCTATACGAATATTATAAAGAGGTAAACTTTGTGATATTGTGAGTTTGTGATGTTGTAAAAAGCACTGGAGGGATTTTGATTTTTGGTATGTTTATAGCTGGTTATCCGGTCAACCAACGACGATCGATTATATATATATTGTTTTTTTTTTAAGTCGATAGGTTTCGTTTTAGTTAGGTTTGGGTTAAGTTTGGGTTAGGTTTGGCGAAAAATATTCCAATGAGTTATTAGATATTATTACTTCATGTATATCAATTTACACAACGACGATCGATTATATATATATTGTTTTTTTTTTAAGTCGATAGGTTTCGTTTTAGTTAGGTTTGGGCTAGGTTTGGGCTAGGTTTAGGGCTAGGTTTGGGCTAATTTTGGGCTAATTTTGGGTTAGGTTTGGGTTAGGTTTGGCGAAAAATATTCCAATGAGTTATTAGATATTATTACTTTATGTATATCAATTTACACAACGACGATCGATTATATATGTTTTTTTTTTTAAGTCGATAGGTTTCGTTTTAGTTAGGTTTGGGTTAGGTTTGGGCTAGGTTTGGGCTAAATTTGGGCTAATTTTGGGTTAGGTTTGGCGAAAAATATTCCAATGAGTTATTAGATATTATTACTTCATGTATATCAATTTACACAACGACGATCGATTATATATATATATATATATATATATATATATATATATATATATATATATATATATATATATTGTTTTTTTTTGGTTTGGGTTAGGTTTGGCGAAAAATATTCCAATGAGTTATTAGATATTATTACTTCATGTATATCAATTTACTAAACGACGATCGATTATATATATATTGTTTTTTTTTTTGGTTTGGGTTAGGTTTGGCGAAAAATATTCCAATGAGTTTATTAGATATTAGTACTTCATGTATATCAATTTACACAACGACGATCGATTATATATATATTGTTTTTTTTTTGGTTTGGGTTAGGTTTGGCGAAAAATATTCCAATGAGTTATTAGATATTATTACTTCATGTATATCAATTTACACAACGACGATCGATTATATATATATTGTTTTTTTTTTTGGTTTGGGTTAGGTTTGGCGAAAATATATTCCAATGAGTTATTAGATATTATTACTTTCATGTATATCAATTTACACAACGACGATCGATTATATATATATTGTTTTTTTTTGGTTTGGGTTAGGTTTGGCGAAAAATATTCCAATGAGTTATTAGATATTATTACTTCATGTATATCAATTTACACAACGACGATCGATTATATATATATTGTTTTTTTTTTGGTTTGGGTTAGGTTTGGCGAAAAATATTCCAATGAGTTATTAGATATTATTACTTCATGTATATCAATTTACACAACGACGATCGATTATATATATATTGTTTTTTTTTTTGTTTGGGTTAGGTTTGGCGAAAAATATTCCAATGAGTTATTAGATATTATTACTTAATGTATATCAATTTACACAACGACGATCGATTATATATATATTGTTTTTTTTTTTGGTTTGGGTTAGGTTTGGCGAAAAATATTCCAATGATTTATTAGATATTATTACTTCATGTATATCAATTTACACAACGACGATCGATTATATATATATTGTTTTTTTTTTGGTTTGGGTTAGGTTTGGCGTAAAATATTCCAATGAGTTATTAGATATTATTACTTCATGTATATCAATTTACACAACGACGATCGATTATATATATATTGTTTTTTTATGGTTTGGGTTAGGTTTGGCGATAAATATTCCAATGAGTTATTAGATATTGTTACTTCATGTATATCAATTTACACAACGACGATCGATTATATATATATATTGTTTTTTTTTTTGGTTTGGGTTAGGTTTGGCGAAAAATATTCCAATGAGTTATTAGATATTATTACTTCATGTATATCAATTTACACAACGACGATCGATTATATATATATATAGTTTTTTTTTAAGTCGATAGGTTTCGTTTTAGTTAGGTTTGGGTTAGGTTTGGGCTAGGTTTAGGCTAGGTTTGGGCTAATTTTGGGCTAATTTTGGGTTAGGTTTGGGTTAGGTTTGGCGAAAAATATTCCAATGAGTTATTAGATATTATTACTTCATGTATATCAATTTACACAACGACGATCGATTATATATATGTATTTTTTTTTTTTTAAGCCGATAGGTTTCGTTTTAGTTAGGTTTGGGTTAGGTTAAGGCTAGGTTTGGGCTAGGTTTGGGCTAAATTTGGGCTAATTTTGGGTTAGGTTTGGCGAAAAATATTCCAATGAGTTATTTTTTTTTTTTTT